GGCTGATCCATGCCGCGTCACCATCATCACCGTTGCCGCGCCCTTCCATACCAACCTTTGTCCTTCGCACCACCATGCCCTGCGACATCACTTGAACCTGACGACGCTTCTTCATTCCTCACACTTGATCCATAATATACATAAAAGCGGCACGGCCTTTTGGGAGGAGTAAACATGATGACGCGGTGGTTGCGCCTTGCCTCGGTGCTACCTTCTGCACTTGCTCTCACACCCAATGATGCGGCTCACCACGTAAAGCAGGTAGCAATTATAGGTGAGTCCATAACCCCCGAAAGATCCATCACAAATGCTGACTCCGAGAAGGTGCAGGTGCAGGTGGCTCATCCGCTGCATACCATCTCGCGCAATATGCCGCCGAAGCAGGCATCCCTACAAACATCACCGTCTTCGAACGCAACGACTACGTCGGCGGCCGTACAACGACTGTGAACCCATGGAACGATCCGACGATATCCGTAGAGCTGGGCGGCAGCATCTTTGTACAGAGCAATCGAATAATGGTGAAAGCCAAGGAGGAATTCAACTTATCTACTGCTGGAGCACGAGATCTCGCAGCGCAAATGGAAATGCCTGATTTGGGCATCTGGAATGGACAAGAATTCGTTGTAGTGACGAAAGCAGGTGATACTTGGTGGGACAAGGCGAAGCTGCTGTGGAGATATGGCGCTGCGCCGCTTTGGACCAACAGGCTGATGAAGAGTGCCGTGGGCAAATTCTTCGAGATGTATGATGAGCCGGTGTTCCCATGGAAGAGCTTGAGTGACGCCGTCGAGCGTGTGGGCTTGTTGGAAGCCACTGGAGTGACAGGAGAACAGTACCTCAGGACAAATGGCATCGGGGAAGCGTTCTCCAAGGAGATCATCCAAGCCAGCACCCGGGTCAACTACGCCTCGAACTTGCCTTATATTCACGGCTTGGAGACAATGGTTTGCATGGCAACAAACGGAGCAATGCAGATTGAAGGAGGCAACTGGCAGATCTTTGCGCATATGCTGAAAACCTCCCGCGCCAATGTCCACCTCAACACTTCTGTCACCCAGATCTCGAAGCAGCACGATGGCAGCTATGAAGTTACCACAAGTACCGGCCACACATCGGTCTTCGACGATGTCATCCTCGCATCCCCTCTTCAGTATTCGGATCTTGTTATCCAACCTGCGCCACAGCACATTCCCGATGAGATCCCCTATGCGAAACTGTACACTACCCTATTCGCATCGCCCTTCCGACTGGACCAAGAAGCTTTCAACCTGGGGCCTGAGAAACCTGTACCGCAATACGTTCTTACCACGCTACCCCCGTCTGAGGTCCCGGTGGATGGTGTCGGGTCGCCCCATTTCTTCAGTATATCTATATCCGATGCTGGTATCAACCCGGGATCTTCCCCGCTTCGATTGGAATACATCTACAAGATCTTCTCACCCGCCCGTGTGAACGCCACCTTCCTCTCGCGCGTCCTTGGCCAACATGTCTCGAACGAGGAAGCCGAACACGGTGACATAAATGGCACGGTGAGCTGGATACACCACAAACTGTGGTACTCATACCCACGCGAATACCCACGCGTAACATTTGAGGAGATTAAGCTAGATGACGGACTGTGGTATACCAGCGGAATCGAGAGCTTTATCAGCACCATGGAGACGAGTGCATTGAGCGGGAAAAACGTTGCTAGACTGATCAGGGATGAGTGGGTTGCCCAGGGCGTTGATGACAGTTATGCGAACGCTCGGAAAGATGGCACCGACGAAGAGTTGTATCAACAGGAGCTATGAGGATTGCGTCTTCCGAACACTATGGCAAGCCACGTTGTTTGAACTTTAAAAGACTTGCATGAACATTGCTACGCGAGTCTGCCCCCATTACTGATTAAGCGGTCACTTCGGCGAGGTAGCAGCACAGACGCTACGCTTCAGGCTTGTTGGTATTCGGAAGAGCGGCATTAGTCGCTTGCACTGGATTTGGGGAAGCTACTCTTCAGTCTAGCCACGTTTGACATCCTTCGGGGGATTCTTCGACACTGATTTGAGATGGCACAATTGTCCCAGTCCAATCGGCTTGAATACCGTTCTGGTAGATCTGGGACGCTAAGGAATTCGAGATCTCAAGGCTACGTCAACCACGTGAGATTAGCGAGGACCCGCCGTCTTGTTTAGCCCGGCGTGGAGTACTGGCCCTGGATAAATGATGTTCGAGGATTCCTCCCTTGACATGCACGTCTGGCTTGATCACATCGATATCTCGCGAAGTATTAAATGCAATTCACGTTAATGCACTCTTCCCCTTCATTATGTTCATGAGCCCACTAGGCTAACAGCGAGCCATCCTATCAGACTTGTATTGTGCTCGGATGTAAATGAGTCAAGGAAGCTAAGACTTCACCCGCAGTCTGGCTTTCTGGCCTACGAGTGGCGTTGGCGTCAGGCCTTCTGTTCTACCCCTAGGAAGCGAACGGCGATCCCCCGGACGTGCTTCCGTCGCAGTCATTAAACTTCCGAACCCAGCACTGACCGTTGTGCATACGAAGTACGGCAGTCCTTTGGCCCCAACAGGATCAGAGGCATGGCTAGCCAGGACGATGGGTACAAGGTTCGATGGCGCACTTTCCAGCCCCGACGTACTTGGGTGCGGATTCTGCGGTAAAGGGTCAATTGCACATGGGATTTCCTACTTCTCGCTGTTGTACCCAGAGCCGGGTTCGTGAGGTTGATCGTGGCTATTCTTTCTCATTTCATCATCCGTAATACCCTACTTTCTTCTTTCTTGCTTCCGTCATATCTGGTCACTTGGACGCGCAACAACCTTTTCTGGTGAGGCTGAAGATACGACACGATACCGAGACCATGGCAGGTCACGTCCTTGCCAACGCGCTGGTGCCGCGAGTGGGACAGATTATCAGTGTCATGCTGGAGATCATTACTTTTGGTGCACTCACTGTTTGTATAAGTAGGTTTTCGACTTCTAGTGCTAGTGCTACTTCAAACGAATGAGAATGCTAACAAGATGTGACAGTGCGACGAACTCAGTCCATCACGAAGTGGATGGCGCTGCCTTTGGCCACGATGTGTATGTGCAACGCAACGCACGCTCTCGGGGCATTTAATGCGCATCATCCTAACGGAATGAATCAGTAATCATCATCATATATTGCGACTCGGCGTTGTTCGTTTTTGCCACAGCAATTATGCTCCACGGGTTTGGCATCAATTTCTCGCCGCAGGTCTGCGAAGGTGGGGTCTTCTTGTGTAAGTCTACGACACCAGATTGCGTGAACCGGAAACTGATTCTTGCACAGGTTTGCTATGTTACATGACGACGAAGATCCTGACATACTACTTCCTTGTTGAGAAAGCTGTGAGTACAAGGCTCTTCTTTCTTCTCCTGTTCGAGTAGTCACTGATTGGATTTAGTATGTCGTTCGGGGGAGTAAAAAGCCTCGCTTGAAGACTAAGCTGTGGCTTTTCAACTGCCTATTCATGCTGCGTACGTTGCGATCAACCGCTCCAGAGAACCCGTGCTGACAATGCCAAAGTGCCGTATACCGTTTTGGTTGTCTTGAATTTCGTCTAGTAAGCCGCAAATTTACACCCTTGCATCGAGAAAGAAGATCCAGTACTGACGCATCGTAGCCGAATAAGCTACATCGATGACTCGGGCGTATGCATTATTGGCATGCAGAGGATTGCCATGCTACCCTTGATCATTTTCGAGGTCGTTGTGAACGTACGTCTCCCATTATCCTACTCTGGTTCCTTCCGACACAGATGGAACTGACCGAACTCTAGATTTGCCTGACTGCTCTCTTCGTCATTCCCCTCCGCAGTCTCTACTCGTATCAAAACAACACAAACCCCACACTCCGTCGGATAGCCAAGCGCTCGCTTATGGGCTCCCTCGCCACCCTCACCACCTCCGTCGTCAACCTGACCGTCCTCATGATACTGCAAGGTGAACCAGCCTGGGTCTGCTTCATCTGCTGCAACGCCGATATTCTGTTCTGTTCGCTGGTACTACATTGGGTCACATCCAAAGACAAGACGATGATGACTACCGACGCAACGAGCGGTACGGGAGGCGAAAACATTGGCTCAAGACACGGCACAACATCACACCAAAGACGGCAAAGCAAGTTGATGTACGGAGACAACACAGAAGAAAAGCTGCGCAGTGAAATCATCACCATCAAGGGCATGGCCGACGTGTCGCCGACCGGCGGCAACAGCAACAGCATCAGCAGCAGCAGAACCAACAGCGGCGCAAACTCCCGAAGACCCAGCCTCAACGTTTTCCCTTGCTCGATCAACACACACAATCCACATCACAACAACCGTCCGCAGACTTCACCACGTTTAGTGCTTTCGAGCGTCACAACGGAATGCAAATCCTCGTCCCCGCCCAGCAAATTCCGCGCCCCAAGTCGCGGCATGTACCGCACACCCACACGAGAGGAGTTTGGGGATGAGGTCGAGTTAAATAATATCAGGGTGCAGACTATTCATACGAGGGAAGTGGAGATTGACGAGGAGGGGAGGGAGCGGACGGGGAGTGTGAGGAGTGAGGGGGACGAGTGGGTTGGCCATGAGCGGAGGGTCATTGGGGACGGTGTAGTTTGATCTTTAATGGATGTCGCCAGTGGAAAGCTTGCCTGGGTGCTTTGGATGTCATGGCTGTTTGCGATTTGAAGTTTGCGATTTATACCTCTTGTTTGGATTCCGTGTGCGGGAATTGGCATGGTACGTGTATATAGTCGCACTTGATGTACTAGGAATGACATTGAGCTCTTGAGACCAAAAATACTACCCATCGTGCTGCATGGGGCTGGCAGCGTAAAGACATGAGAATTGTATTACTAGCTAATGAAATAGCAATAAGAACATAGAACAATTAACTCCAGATCATGTAAAGACCTTGATCAAAATATGCACCTTCATCATCGTCCAGCAAGCATGAACACCCAATAAAACTGCCACAGCCTCAGCTCAGGCCGCAAACCTGACATTCTTACTGCTCTTCCTCTTCTTCCCCCGCTCAGTCAATACCTCATCCACGTCGCGTTGTAGCTCCTGTGCGTGTGCCTCATGACCTAAAACATGTTGCATATATGCCAACACATCGTCGGTGACCTGAAAAGAATGGTTGAGGAGGGCCAGAATGCTACTGTGGAGTTTTGCAGCTGAGACCTTGTCTTCTGTATTGTACTCTTCGGTACGCGCCAGTGGCCCGTTATCGCTGTCCGTGTCGGGCACCGGCTCCTCGATGGATCTTGCTGATGCTCTGTCTTTGTGTTTGCGTGATGCCGTGGGAGACGCTGCCTGGGCGTTTACTCTCTGAGTTGATATTTCGATCACGTCGTCGTTTATTGGGCTGCGAAGTGGAATATTGCCCAGCTGTGACTCGTTCACACGAGAGCCTTTCCTCGTTCTTTTGCCATGGATGATGTTTTTGGGGTCTTTGGGGTCGCCATTGATCTTTTTAGACTGGTCAGGAGAATGATTCAAGGGTCCCCAGCCCTTCATTTGCCGATTGCTTGCTGGTTTCGAGGCCGCCTTGCCATCTGTCGAAGGTTTTGTAACCTTGCGCTGGGTGTCATTGTGAGGCGTAGCACAGGCTATCTTGCTGTGGCTGGACTTTGCCATGATGATGTGCAGTGTTCAGTAGATTCGATCACTGAGATATGAACTTCAAATGAGAGAGTTAAGAAAGACGGTTTTGTGCGTAAGTCATTCTTCGCTGGTGGAGGGATTTTGAAGATACTCTACTGTATGAGTCGAGCGAGGAGTGTGGAGCGGTACATGGGCGCATCTTGGCCTTTTCATGAGTCTTTCCGTTATGCGACACCAACACAACTCACGACGCACTCTGACTGTTTACTAGCGGAACAGAAATGATTGCATGACTGTAATAGCGTGCGTCTGTCGTTGAACCCTGCAATGAAACCCCATCCACATTTGCAACGCGCTGCACAATGGTGCTATGGGATTGTGGCATTCGTTGTCTTGTACAAAAACTCCTTATTTCTTCGCGGCCGGTTTCACAGGCGTCGATGCAGGCGCTTTCGCAGGTGGTGTCTTGGTGGCATCGGTCGGTTTTCCTGGCGGTTTGCCCTGGCTGCTGATAAGATCGAGCAGATGGTCTTCTGTCTGCTTGCCCTGTCCAGAGGTTAGACAAAACATTCGTAGTACACTTTCTCAGCCTCCTTCTCGTTGACATACCTTCTCGGCATCAGTCTCCGCATCCCATCCTCGTCCGAACTTTGTTCTGAAAGCCGCCAATTTTCCAGCCTCATCCTCCTCGACATTGAGTAGTTTGTGTGAACTCGGGTTCCATAGCGGCGAGTTCCGTTGGTCCTTTGCGCTCTTGTATACGGGCTGTGGGTTTGTGGTTCGTAGGGTGAAGGAGCTGCCGTCAGAGAGGGTCACGAGTTGGGTGAAGGTGTAGGGTCGCTTGGGTCGGCGGAGAAGCGTCGCGTGTCGTACTTGGTTCGTCTGGCGTACTTGAGGCTGTATCGATTGTCGCAGGACGCGCAGTGCGCTCATTGAGGGTATTGGAGACGCCATAGTGACTTGTGCTGGGGTCGAGTGTTGAAGTTCGCGAGGAAAGTTGCGGCGAAGAGGCGGAGGTCAGCCTTGGCCGATCTAACATTTCCATCTTCAACCCGCGCACTTCGTCATTCGCACCGAATTGCCCTCCAACAGTCGGGTTTTCTCGAAACATAGCGCGCTTCTGCCCCTCGGCGCATGTGGTCAAGCCGGAAGATCTTAATCTGAATATGGCGCTCTCGCAGCGCCCGGCTTCGCGCTTTTTCGCAGCCTTCTACAGATGGAATCAACATACTCGTTAGTACCTTAGTGCGCATTGATACATACATACTAAATATCCTCTTAGAACGGTCACGACCATGTGCAATTGCCTCTCAATACCCTCGTCGCGATACATATCCCTGCAACGGCATCTGCGCCCCACGCTACTATAATACGACTCGTCTGCTGCAACAACAAAGTCACTCCCCGTCGCAATCGCATGAGGAAGAAGCGATAGGAGCTGGGGAGGAGAATCCGAGGATATCAGGAAGAGGAGGGGTACAAATATTACGACCGGCAGAAAGCATATCAGAGGAAATAGCAAACACGCAGGAGCCTGTGGAAGAGCAAAATGCTTCTTTTGAGCTCTCTGAGGCGGAGCTGGGGGAAGAGCGACTCAAGAACTCGGTGCGCAGAGTGATGCGTAACGTTCCGAGCTCGGTCGCAGTCCTCACGGTCAAAAGTATCGACCCCGATACTCAAGAACACGTTCCCATGGGCGTTGCCGTTTCTTCACTTAGCACCGTTACACTCGATCCGCCTACGATTTCCTTCAACATCAAACAACCGTCAAAGACCTTAGACGCTATCCGGGCAGCCAATGGCCTTTTTCGCGTTCATTACCCCTCCGCTGACAGAGGCGGTGCGAAAGTCGTCGATCTATTTTGTAGAGGGAACCATCCGGATGCCTACAATCTGCGATCAAAGGAGCTTAGACTCTATCAGCCTAAGCTCGATAAGCCTAGGCATCATTATGATCCTAGTAATATGCCTTCTCTTGCGCCGCAGGTACTGGGGGAACAGGTGTTGGCTGCGATGGAGTGCAAGGTCACCCACGAATTTCCCATCGCAGATCATGTTATCCTTGTCGCCAGAATCAACAGCATAGAGCAAAGGGCTTCCAAGGATCCAAGCATCATGTATATCAATGGTGGATACCGTAACCCTGCGGGCGAAAAGCTCTACACTCCTACAAGATCAACACAATCCACAGCTGGTGAAGGGGTTTTCTCGGTATGGGATTATCCTTTATTTCCCGGAGAAGGAGAAAGACAAGAGTATATGAGGAAAATCAAGACATTCATCAAAGACACCCCTGCCTATTACGAAAAGCCATCTGCCGAGACCTATAGGAACATCGAATCGAGTTTACCGTACGCTACAGGAAATTTCGGAATTGATCTAGAGGTTCTTGTCGCAGAGTGCCGAACAGAACTGGGCCTCCCTGCGCGATTGCGTGCCGAAGCGGAAGGACGACAAGTCTTGAGTGACTTCTACGGGCCATTGACACCGGCAATGAGGACACAAATTGTTGATCGAGCGAAAAAGCTCGTTGCGTTAGATGCGCGCTTTCTGTCTCAACATTACCGCACCCTCCTATACAGCCTGGGCGTTAACCCTAGTAGCAGAGATCTCCTACCAAGCGACATCATGGAGCCTCTACGAGCAGCAAACTTAGCACCACCTTTCGACCCCCGCCGAGGACATGTCAATGGCGGTATCGAGGATATCATGAAAGTGGAACAGCTTGAGTTCCACCTACAAGGTTATCTTCGGAACATGAAATACGAGGCTGCGTTGAAAATGCCCCTAGACGCGGCCATGGAAGCCATCAGTGAACGCAAATTAGCGGCTGTATATTTCAAAAAAGCACGAGCGCGCTTACTCACCCAGACCCATCCTCAACTATTCGATACTTCAGTCATCGACATCGCTGGCGAGGTGACACAAGTAGAAGCTCGTGTAGTTCTATGCCGCTTTATCAATGCCCTACAGGTCGACTCTGAAGTGCGCCTTCGAAAGCACATTTTCCAAGACTGGCATGAAATTTTGCGCCGAGTCGGCGTAAATCCTACCATCACGGGGATGGATGTGGGCTTTCTGATGGGCAAGGTCCAGCACTTGTACTATTCGAACAAATCGTTCCGTGGGTTTTCTGACGCTGTTGAGGAGATGCTGCGACCTTGGTTTGTTCAGAAAGTTAGCTGGGAAGACCTTGAGGAGCGCGTCAGAAGCTTTGTTCAGGAGACCCCACTGCGCGCTACAGGATGGTCAGGTAGAGACAGACTTGCCGCTATGGGCCTGCGTTGGGATGCCACAGTTGCGCTACCGAGCAACAATCCTTCTAAGCAGGCGGGTGAGAAACCGCTGAACCGAGGCGTTATTCTGGACACGCTCGTAGCAAAGGAGCTGAAGAATCACTACGGCAGTGGCACTGAGGAAGAGAACCATGCCATCGCCAAGTACTTGAAGGAGACGTACAGCTTCGACATCACACACAGACCGATACAGTACGAACCCACAGCCCCTACATATCAATCCTCGAGTGATGAGATGCAAAAAGCTCTGAACGCAGCTCCGATTACTGCTCGAGAAGAGGCACAGTTTGAGCAGATCTTCTATACACCAGACGGCGCAAGCTCTTCTCGCAGGGCGGGCGGGTCGCCAAAAGTTCGACAGATAAAAGCAGACCGGTCGTTGAAGATTACACGGCCTACTTCAGAACCCCGTACCAAGCACGAAGGTAAAGGCAAGCAGCGCAAGGGTGGCCAAGGATCGGCTGAGGGATGTTGGGGCACTTACTCTTTTATTGAAGGAAGGAATGAGTAACGTGCCATTGTATGTTCGCTATGTATACTATAATTAGCGTACGTAATTCAGAGGAGATATGAGGCCACATGCTTTGAGTCGAAACTCATCTTAATACTTGTGTAGTACAAGTTCGTGATGTTAATGTTGATCTTGGGGGCGTGAGTTTTAGTGCACGTGACTCCGGTCACGGATTAACCTCGGCCCGTGCAGCCTGAAGCTCGATCGCAATTTCCTAGTCGGAGCTTCCCCGCGAGTATCTTCGCGCCGCAGCAGCTATACCATATCCAATCGCCGATAGCATAATACCCATACAACTACTCCGAGTTATACTACTCCCCAGGTCGAAAAGTAGTAATCATGAAGCTCGTCAGGTAGGCTAGCCCTCAACTTCTGCGAGACTTGCAACTAACGGCTTCGCGCAGGTTTCTTATGAAGTGCCAGAATGAGACGGTCACAGTCGAGCTCAAGAATGGTCAGTAAAGCCCATGCTTCCTCTCTGTTTTCTACTTTCATCGCGTTGTTGTCTGGCGACAGCAGCTCTGTTGCGAGCGCGTCTTCTTAGAGTTGCGCAAGCACGCTTTTACATCGAAACCTTCCTTCAGCTACTTCCTGGGAACATGATCTGACAGGAGCGCAGGCACTATCGTAAACGGCACAATCACCTCCGTCTCACCGCTCATGAACGTTGCGCTCCGAGCCGTCAAGTACACGCCCAAGTCTCGCGACACCGTAGCCCTCGACACAATGACCGTCCGCGGTTCCACAATTCGTTACATCATCCTCCCTGATTCATTACCGCTCGACACACTTCTCATCGACGACGCGCCCAAGCCCAAGAACAAGGCAAGGAAAGAGGTCGGTGGTGGTGACCGTGGTGCAAGGGGCGGTGGCCGCGGAGGAGGCCGTGGACGTGGTGGAGGTGGTCGCGGAAGAGGCGGCGGTGGCAGGGGACGCGGACGGGGTTTCTAGGCGCAGAAAAAGACATCAGAGATTGAAGGCCAGAAACATCACCCGCAGATGCGCATCACGGCGTCGCAAGACGGCTGGGGATTGCGCTATGAAATTTGGAAGATTGAAATTATGGGTTACTGCATACACGACACCAAAGCTGCACGCGCAGTAGGATCACCGTTGGATCAGCTGAACGTGCAGAGACAGTCCAGCATGTGTGGCGTCCAAACACAAGGGTTGGTGCAAAAGTCGCGCCTCGAGAGAAGAATGATACCACATTGAATCGCAACACTGTACGGTCTTCTGCGAATCTCCGATTTTCTTTGCTATACAAACGTTCGCAGGCTACTTACAAAGCTAGATACGTATCGCCCGCGATAACCGACTACTCCGCGTCATACGGTGCAACGGGTGCCGTATCGTTGACCTGAATCCCACCCCTCTTCTTCTCGTTACTATCGTGGAACGGCAATTTCCATCCACCCTCTCCCTCCGGCGTACTCAACCACAACCTCATCAAGTGCCTCCTTGGCGCCGGTGGCGCATAGTCTTTGTACGCTGTTCTGGCGTGGAATATATGGTTGTTGGACAGGAACTGGATATCGCCCACGTCCAGAATCATGTGCAGCGCATGCTTTTGGCATGTCTCCTCGAGAATGGTAATGGCGCGTTCTTGGGCGTCGGAAAGAGCGGGGATGAGACCTGCGTCCGAGAAACGGGTCAAGGAACGGACAAAGTAGGGGTCAAATCTGTTGACGGTTCTGTCAGTCTGAAATTCTGAGGACTTCATGGTTCCTCAGGCGCTTGCTTACTTGCTGTAGACCCTTGGATTCTCTCCCGTCTCGAGGTAGAACACGGCGGTTTTAATCCATTCCTTCTGTCCAACGCTTGTCTCGCCTTTACGGTCAAAGTACCAGATAGGTTGGGTGAGTAGTTCGGCAACATCAGTGTGGTTTTTCTGAAGATCATTCCACACTTCATGGCTACTGACCTGTACACGCAACAAGTCAGCAAAACCGCATACTTTTGGAGAGGTCTTGCGAACTCGGGAAATCGCAATATGACTTACAAGATCAGACTCCCCACCCTCCAACGCCTTAGCCACGCACAACAGCCCCACCAGATCCGAATCATCAGCATGGAAGAACTGCCTGGCATTCGTCCGATAAATCCGCACCTTATCAATCGCCGTGGCATCTTCACCCAGATCCTTC